AGCTGAATGACATGATGAGCTAAATGACATGATGAGCTAAATGACATGATGACCTAAATGACATGATGAGCTAAATGACACGATGAGCTGAATGACACGATGAGCTAAATGACATGATGAGCTGAATGACATGATGAGCTAAATGACATGATGAGCTGAATGACATGATGAGCTAAATGACATGATGAGCTAACTGACATGATGACCTAAATGACATGATGAGCTAAATGACATGATGAGCTAACTGACATGATGACCTAAATGACATGATGACCTAAATGACATGATGAGCTAAATGACATGATGAGCTTAAGATAACAAAATGAGATGAGTGGGATTACCATGACAACAGTGAAGGCCAGCCTATTAGGAAGAAGCCAAGGTGACAGGGTGTCTTACCAACAAACTTGACAAACATGGACCTAAGGAAAAAAGAACTTTTGTTGTTCAGGCATTCTCAGTTAAGTTGTACAAATGCTGTCGGACTGGTTACAGGCCCCGCTATCCATACCGTGAAACCGTTTTTCCTATGGAATCGACAGTATTCAATAGTCAGATGTAATAGAAATTTTTGGTAAACTACAATAGTCACAAACATTTGCGAAAATATTTGAAACTGACTGTTCCTTTACAGTTGGTTATGATTTTCTTGCTGCCGGCAAAGCATATTGCCGAGAATGATTCTCTTCTAGATAACACTAATTACTTACAAGTCAACTTAATAAACCAGAATAATGAAATTTCAAAGTGTGCTTGTATATTTAAGAACATAAAAATCAAGAATGAGGTTTTAATTTTGTCGGTAGAAGTAACGTAATTTACGTTATGGTAACTGATGTACATAACATTTACTACATATAAACAAGTTTGACAAGTAAAGTGGGTTGTATTCTATGCCGAACACAATATTGCTTTCAAACAAATGCCAACTGATGAACAAGGAAAATTAGTAGAACGAACTAATCCATTTTATCTTCTGTTATTGGAACGATTTTTTAAGGATGTAATCATACGTGACGGTCACAGTAAAATAAGTCTCATAGGAATCGATGCTGGCCCTAATCCATTTACATGGATAGCATAACCGTGTATGTTTCCAAACATTAAATCACCAAAACGGAGTAATGTGGCCCTCATCCTGGACATTTAATATAAGGATGTAATTTACGTTTTGTAATTTACGTTAAGTAGATGTTCAGAAATTCCTTGTAAGTGAAAAAGTGCACCACAAATACCCTATGCAATCACACGTTGGAAGCAGTGGTCATTTCAGCACGTCATTCGAATGTGAACTTGATGAACTGGAGTTTCCTGATTCATCCTGAAGTAGAATAAGTGTTTTTCAATGATAAGGATGACTGTACTGTCTTGACACATGCTGTATAATGATTCCGAGTTTCATTTTTGCAACATTACGATAATATATTGATTAATCAGTTTAAATACTTTCATAATTCAGACATGATTTATGAAAACCATTCTTTGTCGTCCATGCATGGCCCTGTAAAGTAAATTACAGGGATTGTGTCGTAAATTACTTTTCATTGCCTCTACATTAATCTTTTCTGTATAAAGCACAGGTGTATAAAGTAAGCTGAATATTGAAACATATGGTTTCCTATCAAGTGATATAGCAGTAAACCTGTGATTGGATCGTGGGGATTTAAATTTAAAGATGTAAACAGAACTAATTTCAGTGTTTGATTATTTGTTGATGTAGTTCCTTATATGATACTTGTGAAACTGCACACAATGATGATAATACTTTAAAACATGCATGTTTTATCCTTAAACAAATGGCATATGGGGATACTCTTCAAAGTAGTGATGTTATTGCATGCGATTCATAATAAAGCATTTATGAAGTCTTATATTAACTGTTAACGTAAATTACATTACTTTATTTGGGATTGTTCGGAAAGTGGCTTTATGTTAAATGATGGAATCTATACATTATTGCTTGAATTGTGGTCATCTATTACAGATATTATAGCTAATTCTCAAGCAGAGAAAGAAAGAGAATACAGAGAACGGGAAAATTAGCATTGGGAGACAAATGGAATAGGAAAGAATTGGAACGTGTTAAAAGTATTATAAGCAGACCAGTACACTGTTTAGAGCTGAAAAAGAAAAATTAACCGTAGGGAAAGAAACAAAAAGAAATATCAGAAAATATGGAGAAAATGTAAAAGGCATTCTAGCTACTATGACCCAGAATGAAGCGACTGCAGAAGTTGTTCCATGGGAGCCTGTAGTGACTAAAAAGTCTGATGAGAATGGTGTGTCCAGTACAACACACGGACCAGTGATTTTAAGCTACCTGCTTTTATTCATGTACAAGTTTCTGTGTTTTATACGTTCATATACGTCAAATGTTCTTCGAAACCTCTGCTTTGGTCCTTGCTTATGATAGTATCACCTATGCCCATTTATATTTAAAGTTGCAATTGTTGACTGGTAATTTACCTGACAGTCGTATTTTGATCAGGGTCTATGTGTCTAATGTTCAAGGTCAGGTACATGCCCGGATGTTCATATTGCTTTTCCACATAGATGACATCTGAAACTGTCTATCTTATTTGAAAGGCAGCTGGTCATTGTGGCTTGGGTGTCGTCACGTAAATTTCATTGTAACATCAGGGTACAGTAGTATAAAGAGCTGTTACATGGTAATTGTCTGTGCCTGAGTGTTGAATATTTAGTAACAGGTTCTCTAATGCTTGTACTTTATGAAAAGTAATGCAATTTACCGAACATGAAACATTTTTTTCCCGCGAGTTTCCACTGGCAATTGTACATTTTAACTGAGAATGGCTGTGTTAGGCCAAATACTCAGTGGTACAATGATGATGTCAGGGCAATGAAAACTCATTGTCGTAGAGCGGAAAAATCTGGAGGAAAAGCAAACTTGAATTGCATTGGCAGCTGTATAAACAAGCTCGTAATGAACTGAATTCCTCGCCAGCTTCAGCAAAGGCAGCTTTTGTCCAAAACACTATCATTCATAATAAGAACGACTATAATCTGCTAGTGGTTTTTATTGTCCTTCGTTGACAGATTTTTTTTATAATTCAACTCTGCATTTATCCTGTATTTAGAAATTGTTTTAGTCACGATATGACTGACATACCGCCGAACGTAAACTCACTCACTCACACCAGATTTTGTCACTGGAGGAAGATGCAAACCTGTTGGCAAGTTCAATTTCATCTTTGCGAGAAGGGAGCTTCTGTTCGTGGTAACCGTGTCATTATATTCAAAACTAGATGCAGAACCCAGTTTAGGTGGATTTTTGGAGAAAAAAAACACCATTCGGTGTGGTTATTATGAAATTGTCTTAACAGTGCTTATCACTTGGTCACGTTTGACTTTATCGGGTTTGTTTCCCCCATATAAATCGGAAGCATTTACTTTGAAAGTCATCACTCATCAGCGAACTGATTTAATAGATATTCTACATTGCCTACATGAATTCCTTTTATTTCTGCATTAAAACGTATCATTATTGAGAGAATCTCAACTAAAAGTATATAAAGGTGTGGTGATAGTGGGTCACCTTGACGACCATCCCTGTATATTTCAAAACTATTTGAACCAAAACCAATTACAAGTACACTTGATTTTGATATTCTTATAGAAAACCTTTATCCAGTTCTTAATTCATTCTCCAAAATTAACCCAGGGGGTTTTAATCAAGTGCAGAGACTCGGCCATAGCACTAGTGGCGTCTCGGAGTATTCTTGACACAATATCTCTGGATACTCCATGGGAGATCCACGATTTCACTGAGGAAAGCCCCTTTTACCAAATACCTCAGTGTACACAACACTTGCAAGGAAGTCGGAATAGCATGTGAACGCCTTGTAGGTTTGTTCAGTTGGGGCTCTAACTTTCTGCACATTTAGAAAACAACATGCCTAGGAAATCTGTATCTCGACATCATGTCAACATCATCCAGAGTGTCGTTCGACCTGTCTCAAAATCTCTCAGGTGTTCTTTGTTAGCGTGTTTTAATCACCAGCAGTGCCATACTCCTTGACGCCATCTTTGTAGTGTTTAAGACCTCCTAAAGCATTTACGACAGGTCAATCGGGGTCCTACATTTTGGGCTGTTTACGACACAGTGTAGATATAAGAGGTCTTGTGAAACGGGGTAAAAAAATAAGAGGTGGTCTACGACCTGCTTTACGAGGTCGTACCGGTAAGAGGGCTTTGTGAAACGGACCCCTGTCTTTTCAAAATCTATTAATAGCAGAAGTCCGGCCCAAATACTGTTATATGTATGAGTCAGTATATTCAGTCAAGTCATAGATCTGTCACGTGATATCGCCTATACATCTTCCAGACATGGAGCCCTTTTGATCTTCGTTTATCAATGTGCCCGAAACGGATGTAATTCGTTGAGAAATTGCCATTGAAGAATAAAGATAATAGTGATATTGGACGCCATTTTTTTATAAATTGTTTTGGCTTACTTCCTTTCGGAATACAAGTGATAAGTCCTTGCCTTTGTGAGACAGGAAAAAAATATTATCGGTCATCCACGTAACTGCAAGTGTTAACACGTGGTTAAGGTAAACGTCGAGACTAAACACACTTGTGTTTGTACAGGAGAATATCATCACGATGTAACTTCAACTGTTGAATATACATATTTGTTCCATGTCCAGACTGAACACATTCCTGTTTGGGCAGAAGTACAGGGCATATACAAGACAAGGGCGTATGAATATGAGCAAGCATATTGTATTGCGTACAGAGCACGGGACTGACATGTTAACTTGCATCAAGTAGCACTAGGGGTATGTCTTGACATAGGGGCAGGTTGTTATCTATCACAAATACCACAGGGGCAAACTAGATCTATAACATGGCAATAACAGTGGCTCAGTGGAAGATCTGAATAAATGTAATGTCAGCATCTGTACAATGTGTCAGTCCATTGTGGCATTCATGATTTAATCATGGAATCAATCATACATTTACACATCTTGTTCTAGATAGTGCGGGCAGACCTCGACCGACCACCACAACCATGGGTAATAAGAACAGCAACCCTCCTCAACCCAGTACCCAGAATATCCAGGTTACACCAAAAACGGAAGGACACACAGAGAGGGTTAACGTTGCAGGAATTGTTCATGGTGGAGTTGGCAACACATATAACGCGCAAGGTAATACATGTATTTGTACTTGTTGACAAACGATGCCTTTGATTTCGACACCTTCAGACACCCATTGGGGTGTTGTGTACAGAGGGAAAGAACATCCTAAAACTTAACAAGTTTTCAAACGCTGCGTAATTGTCCCTTGTATATTCTAGACAGTGAAAAACACAACAGATATTCAGATGGAATCGGCAAATCATGCAACACCAAAGCAGGTCAAGTCAATATCTGTACTGTCTTGTGCAGACTTTGTTGACACATCGTAGTGTTATGATTCAGTTAAGATAAACAATGAGTTTCACCACACTAACTTCAACATGATGTTGTAAGAGTAGCACAGTGTACTCAGGTATACACTGGGGGATCAAACAGTTAAGGTTGGTGTTATCTTGTCAAACCTTTTTATACATTTATTGGCAATTCAATGACAAACTAGAATGGCAACATAGTACCGAAGCCACACACATCAATGATAGAATTTACAGTATCCACAAAGGGCGTAAGTGGGAGAAGCTCTGAACTTTGGTTTTATTTGTTTACAGACGACAAGGAATGTGTGGAAAAGGAAGTAAGTAGATGCATTTTCTCATCTGAAATCATGGTGAAATCAAGGATCAATCAAAATCCCTCCTCGCCATCCTTTTCTATAGCAAAACCTCAATTCTACACGAAGTTGATCGGATACCTTCTCCAAGCCCCAAACAGCACTGTGGTATGGGCAGGTGTAGTTCAGTTGTCTGAGATGCAGGATGTCGCTGCGTCCTCTAGGACCTGCATCAGATCGGGTTTCCCCCAGTTATATTATTTACACCAGGATTTTTTTAATACAATAACATTCAATAAGATAATAAATAAAACGAGAACATAATAATTCGTTTGTCATGCAAACCAAAATATGCATAACACTTGCATCATATGCTATATATAATGAAGAAGGTATGGATATAATATGACCGGAAATTAGTGAGAATTTTAGGAATATGTTTAATTGAATTTCTAGTAAAAACAACCTTGATCTCATTCAAGAGAGACAACTCCGTTAATCCTTTTTCATTAGTTTGTGAAGAGTTATCTACTTGCTAGCAGACGACAATTTCAGTGATCCTCAGTATGTATGATTCAGAGAAGAGGAAGTTGATTTTAGAGTATTATAACAAGGACATCAGATCAGCTAAAGTGATTTCAAGTAGAACAGGCACCCCTTTGTCGACTGTTTATCGTGTTTTGAGAAAATATTGCAAATGGATATGGCATTGAGCACCAGGGAGGCGCAGGTAGGTCCAGAAAATTGACTGTCGGTGACAGGAGGCGGCTTGTGTTCTAGTTTCTAAAAGCAAACGAAGGAGTTTAGAAAACTTAAGGCTGGATATGATTGATAGAGGAACTGTGGCTGTCTGTATGGAGACAATTAGAACTGAGCTGCATGCAATGGGTTGTTTCCTAATACACTGAAATTCTGGACCAAACAAACTGAAACACCTTTGTATCAGCGCCCAAAGTACAGTCTGAAATGTAACGTGTGGGGTGGTATATCTGTGTTAGTTGCAACGCCCCTCTGTGTATTTGAAGGGAATATGAACAGTGAGCGGTACTCAGATATTCTCGAGGGACATTAACTTCCATCTGCTCACGTGTTCTATGGAAATATTTGGATTTTCCAGCAGGACAACGACCCAAACATCATTCAAAGCATTCACAGGCCTGGTTTTGGACCCAAATATGACATTATTAGATTGGCCAAGCTGTAGCCCTGAATCCAATAGAACACGTTTGGGGGCTTATGAAAGAAAGTGTCAATGAGAATAATCTGACAAATGAAAGAAGAGGTGGTCCGGTATTGGGACAGCATGGACCACGACTTTCTAACGTCTTTGATCAGTAGTATGCCCTGCCGCGTTGAAGCCTGCATTGCTGCCCATGGTGACTTTACAAGATAGTAACTGTGTTCACCTGTCTTTGAGTCTGGAGTTATGTTCTGCTAATATTCACATTTACGTGAGTAATGAGTGAAACAAAAATATAAAAATTCAATCTTTACATTCTCAATAATTTCTGGTTGTACTGCAGTATCAATGCACATGAACATATTACTGGCATTACTACACAATGCTGTCAATTAAAATAGAACAACCTGATTTACAGTTGTCCAGATATAGAAGATATCAAATCTGCACACATCTTACTGCGTGTAAAGCGTCATCCACAGGTGCACCTAATTGTATATATTTACATAATAACATACCAGGAGTATGGCCTGTAGGCCACATTATCTCCCATGACTACATGGCCAAGGCTAGAGTAGCTTCAAATACCTTATCTACATCTATGGAAATGATTTAAATACTAACTTCTTTACGTAATCTCCTTTGGCATGTGGACATTATTTTCAAATCAGAATATAGCACAAATGTACAGATCTGGCATAGCACACAATAAAATACATTCTTGACATACATACATGAACTTGAAACAAAATCCGGAGAAATAATCTCTAATATTTCAGACATTTTAATTGAGACTAAAACGTTTTATCAAAATCTCTACTGTGTAAAGGAATTTTTTCAAATAGATCTCGAAGATTTATTTCCGAATAGCCACAAGAAAGTTAGTGATGAATTGGCAGAAACATTAGAAGGTGAATTAACATAAGGTGAAGTTCTTAATGCTTTGGAGCGTATGAAAAATGAAAAAAAGCCCCGGCCCTGATGGTTTCACTGCAGAATTCTTCAAATTCTTCTTTTGGCGGGATTTAAATGTGTATCTTATAAAATCGCTAAATTATGCTTACAGAAACGGAGCTCTATCAGATACACAAGTGCAGGGTATCATCACTTGTATTCCAAAAGAAGGCAAACCTAAAAAGTTAAGGTGATTTATCAGTGAGGAACAAAAAGGCTTCATAAAGGGTAGATATATGGGAGAGGTTACAAGACAAGTGTATGACGTTATGGAATGTGTGGATACGTATCAGATTCCAGGCTTGTTAATGCTTATTGATTTCGAAAAGGCTTTCGATTCTTTAGACTGGCGATTTTCGCTTTTTTAGATTTCGGCCCTTCCATTCGAAAATGGATAAAACTGCTGTATAATAATTCTGAATCTTGTGTATTAGTAAATGGGTTTGCTAGCCCCTTTTTCAAACTAAGTCTAGGTTGTCGCCAAGGAGAGCCAATCTCTCCATATATTTTCATAGTATGCACTGAAATATTAACCAAATTACTTAAAAGCAATAAATCTATCAGAGGATTAAAGATTGGATCTATTGAACATTTATTAGCGCAGTTCGCAGATGATACTTCCTTAATGTAAGATGGTACTGAAAGGTGCTTGCAAGCAGTCGTGAACACATTAACCGTTTTTGCACGTTTCTCTGGTTTAAAAATTAACATTGATAAAACAAAGTTGATTTGGATTGGTTCAAAAAAACGTAGCCGAATGAAACTATTGAAGAACTGTAGAATGGACTGGACTGAAACATTTAAGTTACTGGGTATCAAATTTGACATTGATCTTGAAAATATGGTAGATGCTAATTACAACGAAAAATTTAAAGAAATTTAAAATTCAATGAAAATGTGGAAATGTAGAACGTTAACGCCGTTTGGACGTAACACAATGCTAAAATCCTTATTGTTACCAAAACTTAATCTCTTATTTTCTACTGTTCCTACACCACCAGAAAATGTAATACAAAATTTCCAAGCAAATTGCTTTCGATATATTTGGAAGGAAAAACCCGATCAGATTAAAAGGAACAGGGTAATATGCAATATTCCGGACGGGGGGTTCAATACTCCATTTGTAAGGGATGTAATTGCTTCTCAAAAGATTTCATGTCTTAGACGATTTACCTTCTCGAACACAATACATCAATTATTTCTTTACGAATCAAATAGTATTCCATGTAATATTCTAGAGACGGATGCGATCCATATAAGAGATAATATCATTAACAACATAAGAAACCCCTACAGGAGATATGTTTTATCATCCTGGGCTCCATTCGTGAATAAGCATAAGAAAACACGAAAAGATGCGTACTCACGGTATATATGATATAATGATAATGTTAAGATTGATACAAAATGCATATTTATTAAACAATGGGAGGAAGCCGGAGTAAAATATATCAATGATTTGATAGACCAGGATGGTCAAACTCGTTCATACCTAGATTTAAGAAATAAGTACAATATTTCCTTCAATTATTTAACATTTTACAGGGTAAAAAAACGCTTTGAATAAATATTTAAACGAGCTTGATTATGACGATATTACACCATTAACAGCACAATTATTACCATTTAATATTCGTTTGCTCCTGAATACCCAAAAGGGCTCAAAATACTACTATAATGTGTTATTAGGATCCAAGTTCCAGAAGACTTCAGCCAGTCAACAATGGGAGAAAGATATAGTAAAACAATATACAGATATGGAATGGAGGAATATTAATGAAATTCCATTTCGATCAACTGATAGTGTTCAATTACGGTGGTTTCAATATAAAATTATTAACCGAATCCTTCCAGTTGGAAAATATTTGTTTAAGATTGGATACCTGAACTCTCCTGTCTGTACAACTTGTAATAAGTTCATAGCAGATATTTGTCATGTTTTGTGAAATTGTGAAATTGTGAACTCAATCTGGATTGAAGTCCAAAACTGGGTGAACAGCAAGGCGGAAATCAATATACAGTTTACTAAAGAAACAATTCTGTTGGGCTTTCCTTCTAAGAAATGTCCCTTTAAACGTAATCTGTCTCGTAATAAAAAACACAATTTTCAAAGTTTATCTTAATCGAGGAAAACTTGCCTTTGCTTCAAACCTGAGGGAGCTAACGAATTATTATAACATAACAAAAGCCATAGCTTACTCTAACTGTCATTACAACAAACTTGTTAAATTTTGGTCCAGTTGCCATAAGTTGTTTGTTTGAACCACTATATTCAATTACCCTTTTTCGATGAAACTTTGTTTATCGATGTATGAAATTGGTCCATCTGCTATAAGTGGTATGTTTTGAACAACTTTATTCAATTACTATTATCAATGAAACTTTGTTTATTGATGTATGGTCCAGTTGCCATACGTAGTTTGTCTCTTAACCACTCTATTCAATTACCCTTTTCGATGAAACCTTGTTTCTCGATGTATGGTCCAGTTACCATACGCAGTATGTTTCTTTACCACTCTATTCAATTACCCTTTTCAATGAAACTTTGTCTATCGAAGTATGACATTGGTCCAGCTGCCATAAGTGGTATGTTTGAACCACTGTATTTAATTACTCCTTTTGTTGAAACTCGATGTATAGCATTGGTCCAGTTGCCGTAAGCAGGTTGTTTGAACCATTTTATCAAGTTACTCTTTTGATGAAACTGCTTATCGATAGATGGCATTGCTCGTGCTGCCATAAACAGTCTGTTTTCAATGAAGCATATGTTAAATGACATATTATGTATTGTATGACATGTATGATTTGCTGTACAACAAAAGAAGTGGAATAAAATAATAAAAACAAAAAAAACAAACAAATACATTCTAATACTACCATAAATACACATGCATACACATCACATACATGATAAAAGCTTCATAAACATATTCAAATAGCTGCCTGTCTAGGAGATTTTGCAATTTACTAAATCTCTCACAATGTACACCTTACCTTTTTTAACATACATAATATAATGTTTTTGTAATTTTATTTACAAAAAGATATATGCATATATGATTATGTATTTAACTAGATAAGCATACCTTGGCAGTAGAGAAATATTTCAAATGTTGAACATGCTGTCAGTGCGGTGACTGAGGTGCAAGTGAGGGTTAAAAAGCGTGCAATCTAAAAAGAATAATAGGGTCAGCCACTCAACCAGAACATTTGCCCTGGCTCAAACAAAGGGAATGATAGGGTAGTGGCTGACCCAAGCAAAACCAAGGTAAAATTTTTGAAGGTGTTGTGTCGCACCCGTAATGCAAACATATTGCAAATGCCGATATCAATACTAATAAGTAATAACTAATTACTAATACTGATATTATACATACTATATATACCATGTACTTATACTGACTGACTGAGTTTAGTTTTACGCCGCTTTTTAGCAATATTCCAGCAATATCAGGGCGGGGACACCAGAAATGGGCTTAACACATTGTGCCCATGTGGGGAATCGAACCCGGGCCTTCGGCGTGACGAGCCAACGCTTTAACCACTAGGCTACCCCACCGCCCCTACTTATAACTAATACTAACACTATATATACTATACATATTAATATATATTGTACTTATAACTAATACTAATATAAGTGTTCACTGGTCACGAGGGGGCCATGGATTGATGTACCCTCGATGTTTGTTTATGTTCCCTGAGCCCGAAGCGCGAGAGGAACATAACGAACATCGAGGGTACATCAACCCATGGACCCGAGGGACCAGTGAACAACGTATTTATCTTACCGAACACCTTAATGTTCAAAACTAAACATAGGAAGTCTAATAATAGGCAAGATGGAAAAAGAGGGTTTTTAATGATCTGAGTTCAAACATTCAACGTTCATGATGTGAGTGGGCAGGTTGTTCCAGGACTGCCGGCTAAGTGTTTGGAATGATCTTTTCCTATGGGATGAGAGTCGAACTTTAGGAACGATAAGTAGCTGGTGATTCTCGGATCGTAATGGTCGGGTTGGGATGTACTCACAGAGAAGACTAGAGAGGTATTCAGGTGTTTGTCCATGTAGAGTTATGAAGTCAATCCGGAATTTGACAGGCAACAGTGTAGAGACATCAGTGAAGGTGTGATATAAAAGCAAGGTGGTGGTAGTACTCAACAGTGGTCAAGTTTGAAAAATAGGCCCATGATGAGTATCCTGGGTGATCTTCACACAACTGTTGGTCTTCTTCTCAAGTGAAAAGTAATGTCAGGCGTGTGTATAATCTGTATAGGTTGACATCACAAGGCAACTAATGGTGCGTTAGTGGCAGACAGACAGACAGACAGACAGACAGACAGACAGACAGACAGACAGACAGACAGACAGAGAAGTTTATTTCTCAACAAACCAACGGTGGTACATGAGAATACATAAATACATAGGTAAAGAAATATATACATAGAAAGTGGATGGACATGATGGACTTTCAATATTGACCGCTGTCGGGACGTCATCAAGATCTTTACCTTTGTACAAATACATTGCCATGTTGTAGAGGCATAATACCCCACACGTTACACTGTTGTAAACGGCCGACAACGCTAGCTCAGTTGGGAAAATCTTTCGCAGACGTATGGGTTACGTTCTATAGTTTTTTCTATGTCATCAGATGTCTATAATATCCTGGTTAGAATGAACTTTCAGTAACCCATGCTTGTCGTAAGAGGCGACTAACGGGATTGGGTGGTCAGGCTCGCTGACTGGCTAGACACGTGTCATCGTATCCCAGTTGCGTAGATCGGTGGTCATGATGTTGATCACTGGATTGTCTGGTCAAGACTCGACTATATTTAGCCCGCGGCCAATATAACTGGAATATTGCGGAGTGCGACGTTAAACAACAAACCAAACCAAACAATATCTGATAACTTTAAAGCTCCGCCGCTGGCTATCATGAGTCAACGCAGTGGTCACATTCGATACTGCCGCTCTGTAATGAAATGTAACATATGTTATATTTTGGATTACACTTTCCCCGTAAAGTACTTTAGTGCTTTTTGTTTGGTTGAGTCCCGATGTGGAAACTGTGCTGGCTGATCGGGTTAGATGGCTGACTTTGTGTGCTGGCGATTAGGTGTCTGACTCTGAGGGTGTCCGGATGGGACTCAACCAGTCAAAAGTACTAGAATCTGTACTTTGCTGGGAAAGGGTAATCCCAAATATATCAAATGTTAAATCCATTACAATGATCTGAAATAATCATTCGTGTGGTTTTCTTTTTAGCTCCTTCGTTTGCGCTGTGTACTCTCGGTAAAGGAGAAGGAAAAACAAGGTAGGTGTCCATCAGAAGATATCCATATTATACGTGTACTTAAGCTTCTGTTCCATCTGAGTTGGTTATGGACGTGAAGCGTGGATGTCTGCCTGAAGACTTAGGTCGTATACAAGCGCCTATGGGACCACAGGAACAGTCTGATTTTTAAAGAATACAGGAACTATTCCACTTTTCTAAAAACGTTAATTAAGTTATTGGAAAACTGTTCAGCCACGTGTTTTGAGGCATTGCAGGAAAAATAGGAGCTGCAGTGATGGAGACCTTGGGCGATTAAAAAGTAACATTGTCAAGGTCGTCAGTTGTATGTTTAAATGTAGGGTTGTTATCCATACCAACATCATATAAAAAGATCGGTGATGCATAAGTTGTTTTAAGATATGCTACATTGTAAAACTGTGTTAGCATATTATATGAAACATTCAAGAAGTTGATAACTATTTTAAAATGTTTTTCTTACCAACAGATAGAATAGAGAGTGTTAACAGTCTGGGGTCGAAGGTAAGTCATATACACCAAATTCTGTGTGACATTATAGAGGTTATGCCTGTTCACACAGACGGGGGACGTATAATACCTCTGGGATGCATTGTATTTTATACAGTATGCTCATTGTATTGCACATATACATGTCCATGATCTGTCAGAAGGGAACAAAGTTCAATAATCCAAAGTTTGTTAACGACGTTACGAGTAGTATAGGGGCCTTTATAGGGTCAAAATCTATTTTTAGCTATGGGGCTTTATAGGGTCAAAATCTATATTTAGACCATGACTCATGTGAACACCTGGTGTGTCTATTTTTAGAATAATATAAAGTCCCCCGAACAGTCTTCATACACAGTTTCAGACACTACACCTAGTGATTACACATTATACTACCAGTGTTCCTTTTGCAACCCTAGTGACTACAGTTACTGGGTTTAAAGCCATTCTTGGTTTAGACGCTGTACTGTGCGGACGTGTTGCCATTGGTCTGGGATATCATGGATGTGTGTGGACATTACCCATTCGACAAGACACTCGATTGCTGTGCAATCAAGACTGAATGGACTTCATTCCAGAAAAGACTCGATTCGTTTAAAGACTGGCCAGTGCAGATGAAACAGAGTCCTGGTCACATGGCTCAAGCAGGATTTGTGTACTTAATCAGAGGGGACGTTTGCAAGTGTTTTCAATGTGGTCTCATTCTCAAGAACTGGGAAGTAGATGATGATCCCTGTGCCGAACATGAAAAATGGTCTCCAGATTGTCCGTATTTGGCCCTGGTGGGAGTACCTCGGAAAGAGGTGACCCGTTGGGGTAGTCATGTGGATTTGCAACCAAGAGTGTGATGTCAAATGTGTGACTATTGGAAATAAATCAATGTTAAGAGTATGTCTGCCTTGGTTGTCTATGTATAGTATAAATAGAGGTTGACTCAATACTAATCTCACTGAGATCCCAACGCGATAAGAGTTTGTTTGCTTGAAATAGTATGGCTAGGTACGTGTTGAAGCATTACGAATTTTTAAGGTTCATGCTAATGTTTCAAGACATTGAGGAGATTCGACAAGACATCTTAGAAATGAACAGAGAACAGATTCTTGCCATCAATGGTATTATCAATAGGTTATTAAAGGGAAGATTACCAGTAACTCGATATGAAAGCGCCGTTTCCTGAGGAAAAATGATAGAAATAACTATCTAGTGGTGTTACGAAGATTAGTTCACCCCTGTGGACGACAGACAGTAGGTGGAAGAGGCTTTTGCCAGTAACATGCCAATCGTAGCATTTCTTTTGAAACCACAGTTTGTCAATGCACTTAGAGATGAGGCCATTCAAAATGCCTGGTTGTTTGACAGAGCATTGGGTTAGTATGTTTGGTACACCCGGTTTAGTTTGTCATAGTAGTGCATCCGAACCATCCTGGCAGCGATGTTGAAAGCTATACCAAGGTCAATGAAGATATCTATATAACAGGCCACAAGGGCTATCTAGCTTCATTTAGCCGTGGACCAGTGACAGTGACGCATCACCTCAGGCGCTCCCATTTTCATCATGAATAATCCACGATACAAACTCTTCGCACCGGATGCTGAAAAATGGACACGATATTACATGCTCAGGGCTGAAGGAAAGGAGACCCTTATCATTCTATAACACGTGGAGGAGAAAATCTGCCATGTTGTCTGTCGATCGATCGATATTTGGAACTGTATGATCCAGAGTGGAAGAAAGACAAACAAAACCAGAAACCACAGAGCAACCTAAAGATTAATTTCGTTACCCCTACTCAACAAGTGGTTGAACAAGCTAAAGCCAGGTTGAAGAGAGAAAGGGAAAGTGCCATCAATACGGAAAACACAAAGCGAATGAAAACATATTTTTAAATAGAGACGAAAGGCTAAATGTATCATTTGTAGTAGGACTGTTGACGTGTGAACATCATTATGCATCCCTGTCCCATATGCTCCAAACAATATGTTTGGGCTCATGACTTGTCCCGTCATATTCGAACAAAACATCCAAAAGATATCAAGCAGCAGCAGCAGCAGCAGCAGCAGCAGCAGCAGCAGCAGCAGCCGTCACCACCCTCTCCTCCTCCTCCTCCTCCTCCACCGTCAGCACCAGCAGCAGCAGCAGCAGCAGCAGCAGCAGCAACAACCACATTCATCAGAAAGTATTACCCAGTCATTGGAAGAATGTAGACTGATTCACCCCTTCACCATGATCGTCTCAGGGCCAACCTCCTGTGGGAAAACCTACTTAGTGAAACAGATTCTAGAAAGGATGAACATTAAACCTTATCCTGAACGTATTATATGGCTCTACAAACGATGGCAGCCCTTGTATAATGCCATTCAAACCCATGTTTATCCCTATGTGGAATTTCATCAAGGCATTCCTTCTGATCTCGAAAAGGATGCATTTCTGGACCCCTGTGTGGTGAACGTGGTTATCCTCGATGACTTAATGTCGACTGCCAGCAAAGATCCACGATTACAGATCTGTTTTACGGAAGGAAGTCATCATCGTAATCTCTCAGTGATCGCCTTGAACCAGAATTTGTATTTCAGTAAGGATCCCACACAACGAAGAAACTGTCATTATCTGCTTCTGTTCAACAACCCTATCGATCAACAACCCATCATGACTTTGGCGAGGCAAATGTATCCAGGTAACATGAGACCATTTCATGGAGCCGTTTCAAAGGGCTACCCAGAAGCCTTATGGCTACTTGTTGGTTGATCTAAAACCCCAAACACCTCCCCATAGACGACTTTGTCCCAATGCATTCAGTTTAAAAGGACACCTCCAAGCCAGGACAAATCAGTCCGAGTTAGATGTTCAGCGTGAGCGAGACGTGTGAAGAAAACCTCTCAACCATGCCAACTTGTGATGCCTGTGGACTCGTGTTTCAAGATGTGCAAGATTTGCAAAAACACAGAAGAAACTGGTGTCCCGAAAAGTCTTCAGTGGGTCCTCCTGGGATACCCCAAGTGAAAAGGCAGTGGGAGGAAGACAACAACTTCTCACCTGTGAAGAGACCACGTCCTCTGGTGGATTGTGACTATTGTGGTCAAGTGTTTAGCACTAACCATAACTTACAAAGACATTTACACGATAAACAATGTCCTGAAATGGAAAATGAGGACGATGATGTTGAATCACTAAGCGATGTCACACACAACAGGAAAAATAAGATGGTTGATCTCGAAGAGCAAGGTATAAGACAAATGTATTCACGTACGCGTGAGCTGAATAAAGACTTTTTGGATGAGAAACGACAGCTGTACATAAAAAGAGGTTTAAAGCGAAGACATGATTCAAGCCAAACTGAACAAATTGATCTGGAGCACGTTTAAAGAGACGTATGCCCGATTTATTACTTATCTGTACCATATGCAGGATGGTCCAAAGACACAAGGAATACTGAAACGAGTAAAAGACACAAATAATATGTATCATGAAGTGATTTCAAAATTGTACCAATATAAGTCTTGGGTCGAAGGCATGACCGAAGATGAAGACATAACATCTGATGAAGAGAGTGAAGGACAGGTGGATGATGCTGAAGGGTAATAAGACAACAGATGTAAAGTAGGCATTTGGGAGAGCTCCTATCCTAATGTCTACTCATTTGAAACGGAGCTAATAAACAATGAAATCTGTATATCTCTTGTTTCTTAATGTATTGTACCTCTGGGTTACCCTTCAGTAACCCATGCTTGTCATAAGAGGCGACTAAGGGATCGAGTGGTCAGGCTCGCTGGTTGACACATGGCACATGGTGTAGAATGACGCTCATGCTGTTGATCACTGGATTGTCTGGGCAATTGTGTACAGACCACCGCCATAGAGCTGATGAGAGTGTACTAAACTCACTGAATGTATTGCTGTAGGATTGACATAAAACAACTGTTGTACAATTCTTGGTTTTATAATACCAATTTCAACCCTATTTCACTGAATCCACGAAAATGTTTAACCTCCTCATACTATTATCAGACATACAAGTTTCAGTTTAATCGTCATTCTTGTTGATTGAATACAAGATAACAACTGTTTCAGTTCATGGTATTGAAGATAACAACTGTTACAGTTCATTGTATTGAATACAACAACAATTTTAATGATCTGTAATGAATATATTTATATATATACATATATATATAAACGGTTTATAAATACATAAGCTATTACAAAAGGTCACTAGTGTTGTAAGCCGGTTTGGACATGTAGCCGGTTTGGACATGTAGCCAATTTGAGTCAGAACCGTTTGCGAACCGGTTTGATAGACCCGTTTGCGATCCAGTTTGACAGAACCGGTTTTAGGTAGGGGCTGTTGGCGCCAATCTTGAATGCTCTTTGTTCACTGCCATGTGCAGCCGGCATGTTGTGCTGTGCGTGTTTAGGTATTCTGGCGGTTTCATGACCGTTTAAAACAGCACAGTAGGTGTGGAATTTATGTGATGGATCATTCTCTATTCTAATTTGTGAGTATTTTTGCGTATAAAACGTATTGTGTGAATAATGTTGTTGACGACAGTATCGTGAGTACACATGTTAACAATGCGAGTACATCTACACACTAACATTGGTTTTATGTAAGCTGTAGTTTAGAAAAACGATGAATCTAGGGAAAGGTTCTGATTATGATTGGACTGTGTTTATTGTGTTGGGATTTAAAGATTCATGGCATATGGGAGTCATGTCAACTTTCTATCGATCGTATCCTGTGTGTGTATCGGGCTGTGTTTATTCATGTGATTGTGTGTGAGTTTTAAAGTAGGCTCATGGCATATGTGAGTCATGTGTAATCAATTTTCTATAGGTTGTATTCTGTGTGGGCTGTATTTATTCATATGATTATGTGGGATTTTTAAAGTAAGTTCATGGTGACTCGTTCTTCATGGGATATTTTGGTGAGAAGCATGCTGTGAGTGATTTCGCGATGAGTTTCAACATTATACTCAGTTTTTCATCGGCGGGCATGGCTAGGACTTTGTTATTTGTTTAAATCTATATATTTATCATTTTGTTTCAAAATGGCGGCGGGGACGCGATCTATGACCTGGTTTCTTCAATGGGCGTGAAGGCCGTCATGCTTCTCGGTTCATTGAACGTAGGGGAGAGGCAATGTTATGGCAGAATGAACATGGCACACCTCACTCGGAGGCTGTGGCAAATTAAAAGAAAGTATTAACATGGACACTCGGTAACATGTATTTGAAGTTATTTTATTTTTCACTCCATTATACGCTTGTTTTCTTAATCTTCATGCTTGGTTGGGAGAGGGGATTCCCTTCCCGTAAACATAGCTTTGAATGGCTGTAGGTCGGACTTACGGGTGGGCAAAATGAGTCATTCATTGTTGGAGTACAGTATGAATCAATCTGTTTCTTCACATGAATGGGTTACTTGTTCCAACCCCTCTAAACATCTAGATTTACCACCACTGTTTGCCTCAACAATGGATATGATGAACAGAGGTGAGTTGACTTCATGTACACTTTATCACCAACACTCGTTCAATCTGATGATGATGTAAATCTTAATCTGTGTTACGATGTATTCTGTGTTACAATGTAAGGACTGAAGGTAGGACGTTGTATGCATTTGAATTTCACATTTTTAATAGTTATAGTTAGTCAGACGGGAATTGATACTGCGATAATGGGCGCTCGCTTTGAGATTAAAGAGAAATACACTGGTAGTATAATGTGTAGTGACTCTATTGTATAAGATGTTTTGTAATCCAGTGAGAAATATACACAATGTTTAATTACTCCAGAGATGTGTAGTTGAGAGGCTGATGAAAATATAAACCCTGTAGACAGTATAATCCAAGGTTGATTAGTAATCCAGTGCACACAGTATAATCCAATGAGAAATACACTGGTATATCCACAATGTGTGAAATCACTTGAATGTATATCCACTAGTGACTTCAGAGACTGAGTATGACATGAAGCTGTTTGGTGGGGCTTATATACCAGAGTCTAAAAAATAGGTTGTGGGAAAACCCATGTCCAACATGAGTCATGGTCTAAATATAGACTCTTCTAAAAATAGAAACAGCAGGTGTTGACATGACTCATCATCTAAAAATAGCCTGTTACCAGGGGCCTATTCTAAAAATAGATTTTGACCCTATAAAGGCCCTTATACTACTGTTACGTTTCATGCTTACAATCTCATGACAGTTTTTGTACATTTCTTTCCATGAGATTTTAGTAACTACAAGGCAAATAATGAGAAATGGAAAATATGTCTGATTTAAGATTCAGTGCAGAGTACCGTCAACAAGCACATTTCAGTTCTTTACTATCTCCTATTGAACATAGATCTAGGGAAATATACTGAGTCAAAAAAGAAACTTCACAAAATGTAATCTGAAAAATAATGAATAATTTTTCTCTGATGATACATCTATGTATCCGAAATGGGATCCCTAACTTTCGACTCTAGAAAAATGTTAGCAAAACCCACCTCAAACCCATCCATTCGTCGTGCAAATGACGTTAGTGCCAAATCAGGTGTTGCACGTGCAGTCGATCGCGTGATCTTCGCATCGAAGTTTTCTTCATATGCACGTGTTTGCAATGGCCACAAGAATTGAAAAAACACTTTTAAACCACAGTTCTAACGGTACTTGAAATGCCACGATTGTCAAATGTGCAACGTGAACTTGCCGTTGGCATGTTGCAAGCGGGAAGATCAGTTATTGACGTCGCAAGAGCAATGGGATGCAGCCGTCGTACTGTGTATGACTTGCGAGGTCGTCTACAACAAACTGGCACCACTTCTGATTGCCCAAGGTCGGGTCGTCCACGTGTGACGTCACGAGCAGAAGACTGTCAAATCGTCCTACGTCACATATGTGACAGATTTCTGCCGGCTACACGAACCAGGGCTGAGATGTTTAGAGGTCGACTGTCCTCACAGACCATTCGAAATCTTGCGGGCTGCCAATGTCCATTCTCGACATCCATATTGTGGGCCAATATTGACGCCGTTTCATCAACGTCAACGTCTGTTGTGGGCGCAACGTCACCTCCGATGGACCCAGAGAGACTGGAATCGAGTCGTCTTTAGCGATGAATCCAGGTTTACCCTCAGATTCGCGGACGGCAGGCATAGAGTCTGGAGACGACGTCATGAACGGTATGCCCAATGTTGTGTACAGGAAGTCGACAGATTCGGGGGCGGAAGTTGCATGGTGAGGGGGTGCTTTCTGTGGGAACAACCGTTCCCGACTTCTGGTCATCCGTGGAAACCTCACAGCTGCAGCTTATCGAGATCAGGTGCTCACCCCTGAACTCGTTCCTATCATGGCGGCTCATGGCCCAGGTCTACAGTTCCAGATTGATAATGCTCGGCCGCATACCGTGATGTTGACACGAAATTTCCTTCAAACCTCTGGAATCAACGTCATGGACTGGCCATCGAGGTCCCCTGACCTTAATCCAATAGAGCACGTTTGGGTTGCAACTGGGAGAAGGCTTCGTGGTCTCAGGAACCAACTTCAGAATTTGCAGGAACTTGGCGCTGCCTTGCAAGAGCAATGGCGCAGAATGCCCAACCACGTATTCACAAGCATCAGGCAGTCGATGAGGAGACGGTGTTTGGCAGTGGTGAATGCGCGCGGGGCGGCCATACACGATATTGAACTAAGAAATTTCGCATTTTTATTCTTGTGACTTGACATTCTGTATACCCATGTCTTGGAACGGCGGTGTAGCCTAACGGAACTGATCATGGCACTGTCAGTGAATCGAGTACATCACACCGATCTCAGGAATGAAATAATAACAATTTAACCATCTTACCATCTCTTGTTCTTTTATAGTGCCCTGAAGAAAGAATGTGAAGTTTCTTTTTTGACTCAGTATATATGCATTATACCATCCCGGTTCAAGTCGGACACGTGTGAGAACAAGCGATACCGTTTATCGGATGGCCCAATGGTCAGCTGATGTTTGCTTCACGTTAATTCAAACGGTGTAGTAGCTACACAACAAAACGCATGGTATGACCAAACGCATGGTATGACCAAACGCATGGTAGGACCAAACGCATGGTATGACCAAAAAGTTAGCTGCTACCCTAATGTTATCATGTCACTGGCTCAAAGACCTAAGGATATTCATGTGCAGACATTGTTTGAATCACTGACGTTATGAATCAAATGTTTTTATTACAAACATTTTGAAGTGAAGACGTTTGGACTGGTACCTCTCTAAATAACAGTAAAGCGGTTCCGAGTTCCGAGTTCCGAGTTTTACTATCACGTTTTCGATGTTCATCTCATGATTTATTTATAGAAACTGGACGCTATACTGATATTAATCGACAAGAGAGACTATGCCAACTATGTGATTTAAATACTGTAGAGGATGAGTACCATTTCCTTATTGTTTGTCCGCTGTTCTCAGACCCTAGAAGAAAATATTTACCAAATCATTTTTATAGATATCCAAACGTTATCAAATTTACACCATTACGAACAAGTACAAACAGTTTACTTCTGCAGAATTGATCAATTTTTATATTCTATGCAACATGACACAGGCAAAATATTATTTGAAAAAACTTAGATGTTACTGCTCGGGGTGACTATGGAGTATGTTTTATGTACTACAGGCCTATGGAATAAGATGGGTTGAAAGAAACCATTAAACAAGAAAGATGAAGTGACAAACTTGCCCCAGCACACTGCGGACCATTTACAATTTGATAAGTGACGATGATCCACGTATAATGCATTTTCATACTGATTATCCTAATGTTACCCTTACCTAAACAAACTGAAAGTTGCTGAAGGTACCGATGGTGTATTGTTAACTATTATTTATGTCCTGAATTTCAGATAAACAAACTGGAAGAAGAAGTAGAAAACCTCCGAAAACAAACATACGGTATACAGTTTTTATCATAACAAACGTGGCTCTCGTAAGTATCTGCACTGAAGCGTTGCATATAGAGAAACTTACTGACGGAATATGTTATATTTTCAGATAAACGTGAGGATATACAAAACATCGAGAGGAAGGTAAATATCATTTTACCAGACAAATGTACAATGTATACAGAATATGCGAAGTTGTCTTAAGCACATCTAGATTTAGCAGAACCAGTGTAGACATACAAACAAGGCGGTTCAGATCATCACGGATAAACACAGCAGCTGTGAAACATCATGTAAATAGCCATCTTTGCAATTTACTTTTAAGTTTCATTAGATTTTCTTGCTGACAGTTGTTTGCATTTTTTTTAAATTGTGAAGTCAAATTTTTATAACACTGTAACTTGACCATGACCTTTAAAGCAACGGTGGCGTTATGGACAAGTGGCTTTCTTTTATCACCAAGTCAGATTTTTGGACAAAGGTCTCGTCAGCCTTGGCTGGTTCCTCTTCCTAAAGAAAAACTCATTACGAACTCACTATAAATCAACCCGTGAAGATCCGTGTTAGAATTGATCTTCATTAACCCATGCCTGTCGTAAGAGGCGACTAACGGGATCGGGTGGTCAGGCTCGCTGACTGGGTTGACACATGTCATCGTATCCCCATTGTGTAGATCGACGGATTGTCTGGTCTAGACTCGATTATTTACAAACTGCGTTAAACAACAAACCAACCAAGAAACCAACGCTGTACCATAGATGGTTTGGTAAAAGCTGAGTTTGGTACATGTGACACAACACTCCAACCGCTGTTAGGACCATTATAGTTTGGCATGAAATGCATGTGAATGTGTTTTTTTGTAAATATCTCTTCATCCAATGACCCAATCGATCTCAAACTGTGCAAGTGGATGTTTTGTCAGACAACCTAATCACATTGTAAATCACCGATTTTATACATTTGTATGAAAGAATCTGTCTATGTAACTGTCAACAAAATAAACAGCAGAACGCAGAAGGCTTGCCGAGGGAGGGAGCCAATGACCTGTAACAGCGGCAGTGTTATACCCGGTCATAGTTTGGCTCGATCCGGCAGCTAAGGCTCAGCTCGCTGGATCCCTAGCCAGGCGCATTAGACAGCTCGCTCATCATGTCCCTGATCAGCAGTTAACTTTACTGAAAATAAATAATTAGACAGCAAGAAATGAAGATGAAGCCAGTTCATGTGGATGTTGGAATGTGCAGCACCTATTCCTTCTTCATCTCAAGCTGTGCCAACACCACAATCTGAGCAGCACCAATTCCTTCTTCTTCTCAAACTGTGCCAACACCACCATCTAAGCAGCACCAATTCCTTCTTCCTCTCAAGCTGTGCCAACACCACAATTTGAGCAGCACCAATTCCTTCTTCCTTCACCAAATCCTTCTTCTTCTTGAGCTGTGTAGACACCACAATCTGATCAGCGCCAATTCCTTGCTCTGGGCAAAGCCTCTTCTCAAGCTGTGCAGACACCACAATCTGAGCAGCACCAATTCCTTCTTCCTCTCAAGCTGTGCCAACACCACAATTTGAGCAGCACCAATTCCTTCTTCCTCTCAAGCTGTGCCAACACCACAATCTGAGCAGCACCAATTCCTTCTTCCTCTCAAGCTGTGCCAACACCACAATTTGAGCAGCACCAATTCCTTCTTCCTCTCAAGCTGTGCCAACACCACAATCTGAGCAGCACCAATTCCTTCTTCTTCTCAAGCTGTGCCAACACTACAATCTGAGCAGCACCAATTCCTTCCTCATCTCAAGCTGTGCCAACACCACAATCTGAGCAGCACCAATTCCTTCTTCTTCTCGAACTGTGCCAACACCACAATCTGAGCAGCACCAATTCCTTCTTCATCTCAAGCTGTGCCAACACCACAATCTGAGCAGCACCAATTCCTTCTTCTTCTCAAGCTGTACCAACACCATAATCTGAGCAGCGCCAATTCCTTCTTCTTCTCAAGCTGTACCAACACCACAATCTGAGCAGCGCCAATTCCTTCTTCTTCTCAAGCTGTGCCAACACCACAATCTGAGCAGCACCAATTCCTTCTTCATCTCAAGCTGCGCCAACACTACAATCTGAGCAGCGCCAATTCCTTCTTCTTCTCAAGCTGTGCCAACACCACAATCTGAGCAGCACCAATTCCTTCTTCTTCTCAAGCTGTGCCAACACCACAATCTGAGCAGCACCAATTCCTTCTTCTTCTCAAGCTGTGCCAACACCACAATCTGAGCAGCACCAATTCCTTCTTCTTCTCAAGCTGTGCCAACACCACAATCTGAGCAGCACCAATTCCTTCTTCTTCTCAAGCTGTGCCAACACCACAATCTGAGCAGCACCAATACCTTCTTCTCAAGCTGTTTCAACACCACAATCTGAGCAGCGCCAATTCCTTCTTCTGGGCAAAGCCGCAGCACAAGGTGTCCAGGAGTCATCCTGATGGAAGCACTGGCAGCAGGGACAACTTATCATCAGAACACAGCGCCACATCAGTAAAGTGCTTCTCACATCTTGGTATTCTGACCTGAACGTTCAAACTAAAGTACATGAAGCCTCACCAAAAACATCCAAACACATCCTACAAACAATTCAACAAGGACATAATGTTGAGACATAACTGACCACTCCTGTTAATGTTGAGACATAATTGATCTCCTAAACATTATCAATGCAATGTTGATCTCCAAATAAACTGAAACTGGCAATTGCCCAGCCACCCACACACTAAAGACCGAAGATGACATTAAGGACAAATCGCCTACACACTCCCTCACTTGATAGACTGACGCTAACATTCAAGTAATAAAATCTCACGTACCCACTCACTCACTAAATACACTGAAGATGACATTAAAGTCAACCCACTCACTCACTAAATATACTGAAGGTGACATTAAAGTCAACTCACTCACTCACTAAATATACTGAAGGTGACATTAAAGTCAACCCACCCACTCACTCACTCACTTGATACACTGAAGATGGTATTAAAGTGAACTCACCCACCCATTCATTAGATAAATTGAAGATGACATTGAAGTCAACCCACTCACTCACTCACTAAATATACTGAAGGTGACATTATCAAAGCTGGTAGTCACTACCATGTGTATATTTCCATGATGGATTCCTTGTTTAAGATACACGTTTGCACTTTCTTAGGAAACATCGAAATGTTACTTTCAGGAATAGCTTACTCTTTCACATGTACAACTATTTTGTAAATGCAAGGATCACACATACCTAATTGTGGGAAGGTCGCCGGCCTATGCTGAGCTCCGGAATGCTCCACACGGATCCCCCGGAGCCGGGCCAATCTCAGCACGTGTGGTGGGTCAGGCATCCTGATGACCTATGCTGCTCAACCCATTCAGACCATCATTTATACCCCGGACCAGGCATGTCAAAAATCAGGGTGACTGAATGTAACCCGTTCGGTGCCTGCTCGATGCTTGCCCACCACTATGGTTGTCACCTTCCGACTTAGTTTAATCCCACGGTCTAAGAACGGGAACAATCCGAATACTGATCTATTCCCGGCAGGAAACCTTTCTGTTATCCTCCGGTGACCATACCACCCCAACACACTGAAAACATCGTCCGATTCCCCTGGTGGTCTGGCAGGTGCCTGTAGGGTCACCGGTGGGTTGCCGTAAGATGTGCCACAGATCCCTTACTGATGTGTGGCCCACCGGTCGCCGTAAGAATATAACTCTGAGTTATTTACTTCCAATTTATCTACGATGTGCCAAAAGGGTAAAAAAAAAGCCGATGCCCATGGATAATCGTCCAGCTCCCCGTCGGGTTTTCCTCAAATTTTGCCGATTTTCAGTCCGGCCTGGCATCTTAAACTAATCTTTCATGGCAAAAGTGGGTATGTGACCTGGGCAAAATACTGAAATGAAATATAGATGTAAAACTTAAGAACGGCCGTTTGAATTTCATAACTGTTACTTTGACTGCAGGTGCTGATAACGTGTTTGTACCTTACCTGCACACAGTGTATTCCAAATTTCTGAGTGACAGACCACTTTGTGGTTCCAGATACGTAAGCTGATGTCAGACGTTAAATGCAAGAAACACGAAATAGCAGGTGAGCAGCACAGTACATGATAATTTGTCAGTTGTGTAAAAAAAAGATTTAGAATAATGATTATGCAAGTCCATCCTTTACCCGTTTCTATGTTTTGTTATCTAAATGTATTCTTAAATGTTTGAATGAAACATTTGCATAGTCACTAAAATAACCTGTACTAATAAGCTGACTGCAGTACTTGTTATTTTATACAGAGTTGGAGAGAAACGTTATACCTGGACTAAAGAAACAGGTAATTAATGAATGCCAGCATGCTATTTTTAGTATACCTTTTACAACATGATTATACAAGTACAAATAGAGTACTGAGGGAACAATTGTTAATTAAATCACATTGCTTTATTGTTTGTTTACGGAGTGATTCCCGGTTAAATGCATTACGTAACCGTACGATGTAATACAACTGTGATTTCTCTGAGCGGCAGTGTTATATTTACAGATTGAAGAAACTCAAATACGGTTGAAAATACTCAAAGAAACAGTTGACGGTAGGTTGAATAACCATTTGATAAGATGAATGCTAAATAGTCCAGGCCAAGAATAATCGGTTATCAGTCATTAGTTGTCCCAGTATTTCACGGGATGCTCAGGGGCAGCTATTCTTACAATGTTTATCACTATGACAAGTGACACGCATATTTGAATTTAAGGCCACATGGCCCAAAGTGCAGCATATGCAATACCTGTGACAGTGTGCTGCTTCTGCAGTTGTATAATTATACAGTTTATCTTGCAAGATTTCTTTTCAAATACAAAGATACCTTTTTGATAACTGAAGGTTTTGCTGAGAACATAAGGTGGTATGATTTATCAGTGGGAGGATTACTGTAAAAATAAGGCTGCTAAAGCATTTCCCTGCTCGACTGGAAATAAGGGCATTTTCTTCAAAAGCTACCTGAGTCTATTCCCAAGTGCTGAGAGGCTGTTGTCACTTGCTGAGTCAAAACTAGTGGACCAAAATGAACAGTGACAGAAACATCTTTTCCTAGCTTTTTCTCGCTGTAATAAACAGTGGAACTCATTTTCACATGTTTAATATTCCATCATTCGGGTACGCAGATTTGAGTCCCAACAAAGAGGGCACATACCCGTCCGAAAAGACTTTACACCCAACTCTATTTCAACCATTTGCTCAAGTGTATAGCGCTTCCTTCTTTCCTCCAACTCACAGAGTCATTAAAGATCAAACCAAGAGCAGAGTGAGTGAAGTGAGTTAAAATTTAAAGTCACATCGGCAATATTTCAGCCATATCGTGACTAAAACTAGTTCTAAATTCATAATACATACAGATAATATATAAAACCCTGTCAACAAAGGACAGTAAAACCACTAGATTATCACAGGTTGACTTAAAACTAGCTAGCGTATATCTTTAAAAGTTGAACATTATTTTTGGACAATACAATGTAAAATGGGCTTGTAATCGCCAACAACTGAAGGTAGATCACCATACTAGGGACCATGGGGACTTACAGTGCCTTTGCTACCTGCATGGACCCTAGCTGGATTCACACCATTCCTTCAGCCATTGGCGAGAGATGTAGCCATACATTAAAATGACAAAAATACTACTATTAAAAACCTGGTAGACTTAAATTTACTTGAAATGTTTTGGGTCTTACGTACCCTCTCGGGAGGACAACATATTTACGCTACGTCAACCCCCTTCGATGGTACAGCTACTCCCAAATTCAGGTTCTGAATTAAATCACCAATAGTAGAAATGCATGTATGTACAAAACATATGAATCGAAATTCATCTATCAGTTCTATTTCTTTTAAAAATTCGATAATAAAATGATAATTGACATTATTATAAAGATCCTTAACAGTTTTTACTTTGACATATTTATCCCTTATGATGGCCCAAGAGTAAAGTATGAAGTGTATTGAAAAGATGTCTTTCATTCTAATCTGCAGACAAAGCGAATGCCATACCGGGCCTGGAAAACCAGGTACTTTACATCCACAGTTACATGTATGTATTGTTACGTCACTGAAGAAGAATACCGAAACAAAGGTTCAGAAGAGTACCAAGGATCACAAGGAACCTTTCTATACAACCAATCAATGTCAAGGGTGCCAACCTCCTTGGTGCAAGTGATCAAGAATATCTGGCAAGCATAAGTGATATCCTATTGCAGTGAGATTGATCCTTCTGTAGCATTTGAAACATTTGAGAAAATATAGTGTGTTATGTATTTTCTATTCATGTTTTCAGGATCTACGATTCAGAAACAATTGCCTTTAGGATATTTCCTTGATTTAATTGCAGGTGCGGGACCTGATACAGAATCTTACAAAATATGACACTGATGTGAAAGGTAAGTTACTTACCTGTAATCAAACATGGACAATGTAAATAGTCGCATGAAATAGACATGAGTGAGTGAGTCAAAATATAAAGTCATATTAGCAGTATTTCAGCCAGGTTCTAAATTCATAAAAATATATCAGTTATAAAACAAACTGTCAAGGAACAACTAGAATATCACATATGAAAGTAAGAATATCACAGATATAGATATATAACTAGTATGAAAATTAAAATCTTTTAAACTATAGAACAAAATACAATATAAAGTCAGGCTATAGATTGCCAACAAAATAGACATGAAATACATAAGTTCCGGGTAAGAATTGGTCTTCAGCAAACCTTGCGTGGCATGAGAGGCGACCACCAGGATGAGGTGGTCATCGTTTCCCATGTGCGTAGATCTATGCTCATGATGTTGATTACTGGGTTGTCTGGTCTAGATACTCGATTATTTACAGAACGCTGCCAAATAGCTGGAATATTGCTGAGTGCAGCGTTATACAACAAACCAACACCACCAAAGATATCCTATGAGAGTGCACATACCATATACGAGGACAATATTTTGTCTCATTTCACATTTATTGGCTAAAATTAAAGCTTAAAGTTCTTCTTACTTTTTTTATAGCTGAAAGGGAGAGCATTGCTGAACTGTACATATTGGTAAGAATAATACACCATTAAATAACGTATGTAGTCACGTGACTGGTTGCTGTAGTATGTGAAGCACCAAGTAGAGTTGGAAAGACAGGCCTTGCTGCTCATATTAATGCTGCATAGTGTACAAGCTCCCTCGAACTGTTTTACACAGGATGTGTGGAGTATTTGCAAGGCTGTTAGATAAGCTGTAAATCACTTTATGGTTTAAAAGATGATGGTCTTATATACTGGACAAAAATAGTTAGGGATATATGTTAATTTTGAAATTATGAATAATGATGTATTTATTCATTGACACATCAATATCAATCATAAAAATACCAACATCCCTAACTTATTTTGTCCAGTATATGAAACCGGCATCTTATGTGTCAAACGGTACTTTTTCTTGAGACATGTTTTGTTAAAATGTATAGATTTCCGACTATGTAAACCTCTGTACTTGTATGCAACTCTGATGCCTTATGTGCATACCGTATCTTTGACGTTAACTATCTGTGTTATCAGTTTCCACCAGGGATCTGTGTAGTAAGTTTTATATCTCAATAGAAGAAGGAACCCCTATATATACACACGAAAAAATATAACTGTGCATTACATAAAATTGCATGAAATATAAGTTATAATAAAAGTAATAAAAGTAACCCTAAATATATACTCAGCAGCAAAATAAACGTCAGTACAATTCAAAATGAGATAGGCAATGTAATCAAATCATTACAGAAATGGACATAATAAGCAGATCAAACACATTTTTGGTGTACAATATCTTGACACATCAATGAATAACTCAACACAATTCCAAGACATTACGTGAAAGTTTGCAGTCCATTCAGACCCTTGACTTCAGTATCTAGTGTGACCACCACGAGCGGCAATAACTGCAGCACAGCGTCTATGCATGGAGTGCATCAATCGATTGATGAAGGACATTGGCACCTTGAACCACACTCTGAGAAAGGCCTGGCGCAATAAATCGGTTGTGTTCGGCCTTGGTATGACATTATTCAGTCTCTGAATTTTATTCAAAAGATGTTCAATTGAGTTTAAATCAGGACTAAGGGCTGACCACTGCATAATGTTGACACCGCTGTAGGAAGTCCCGTGTAGCTCTAGCAGTATGGGCCCGGGCGTTATCATGCTGGAAAATGTTGTTCCGGTGACGTGCGAAATGTGGTAAGACGTTGGGTCTGAGAGCTTGGTCGATGTAGCGCACCGCTGTGATGCCGCCTCCTCTCCCTGGACCAAGGTTCTGGAACACCACAGGACCCACTCTCTGGTTCAGGCCAATTCCACCCCATACCATGATGCTTGCACCTCCCCATGATTATCTTTCCATAACACATTGGTCTGAGTAACACTGGCTTCGTCGTCGCCATATTCTTGTTCTGCCATCTGCAGTTGATACACAGTGCCGACTCTCATCTGTGAACAGAACAGTTCTCCAACGCCAGTTTTTGGTGTTGTAGGGCTAACTGTAGACGTTCACGCCGATGACGAGGGGTGAGGATAGGTCCACGGTAAGGTCTACGACAATGGAGGTTCCCGCTGTTAAGACGTCGGCGTACTGTATCAGTACTGATTGGTCTTCTGTGTGTTCCCACTGTCTGGCGTGCTGTTTCGGATGCCTGCATGAAGGGATTCAGTACATGCTGTCGCACAACATGGCGGTTTTGTCGTCTTGTGGTCACCCTTGGTCTGCCAGTACGGGGGTGATCTTTTGTTGTGTTAGTGGCCCGGAAACGTTGCTGCAGCCTGTAGATGATCCGAACGTTGACCTGGAAGTGATTGGCAATGGCTTGTGTAGTGTGGCCACCTTTGAGTCTTCCTAGCGCCTGGTTCCTCTGAGCTGTCTTGAGTCATGGCATCCTGCTGACGTTGTAATGTGAATGTTTCAACCAGGTTTGGGGTGTATTTTATAGGGCTGGTCCTTTTGAACAGCACCTGCAGCATGAGGTGCATGAAAAACATGGAGAACATCGTACCATGTCCGAGATCAGGTTGCGTTTTGAAACCATTTCCTAGGTTTCATTCTGAGTTGGGGAAGGAATGTCTTTGCTCAGGTAAAGTTGGAAAAGTTGGAGATGTTGTCAAACACATACAATCAAAATATTACAGTTATCCGTTTCTACGAAGGAAAATTCCAAAGTGACGTTTCTTTTGCTGCTTAGTATACATGTAGCAGAACCCCTTACACGATGGGATTTGGCATACTTTTGACACCCGAAGTTCACACCTGATATTGAAAATTGAAGAACTCTGGATTATTCTCTAGCTTCGGAATGTTGTGGAAAACACGTTGATTACGTCATGCCACGGCTTACAGAAAATCAGGCCCGTGAAGGTCCGGGGTAGAATAGGCCTGCAGCAACCCATGCTTACTTTAAAAGGCGACTATGCTTGTCGTAAGAGGCGACTAACGGGATCGGGTGGTCAGGCTCGCTGACTTGATTGACACGTCATCGGTTTCCAATTGCGCAGACCGATGCTCATGCTGTTGATCACTGGATTGTCTGGTCCAGACTCGATTATTTACAGACCGCCGCCATATAGGTGAAATATTGCTGAGTGCGGCGTAAAACTCAACTCACTCACTCACTACAGAAAATCAGCGTTTCCGTGTTGGTGTATGCTGGAGACTGGCATGACACAAAATGTGGCCAGACATTTCGGTGTCCATCGAAACACGATCTGTCAACATAATGGGAACACGAGAGATTTGCCTCGGACCGGCTGTCTATGCGTGATCTCACATCAGCAAGAGCACAACATCCGGCCCCAACAGTCAGAAATACGTCCAGTCTTGCTCCAACGTCACCGACATTCACGTCTTGTCTGGTGCAGACAACATCTACGGTACAGGAGACAAAATGGGGATGGTATTTTGTTCACTGTCGAGTACAGGTTTTATCTATCTGCTCAGGTGGAAGGTCAAGGGTGTACAGACAGTATGCTGACGCGTGCGTTCTTCAACGTCGACAGTTTGGTGGCGCTAGCGTTATGGTATTGGGAGACAGAACATCACGCTTCAACAAGATAATGCCCGTCCAAATGTCCCTCGTGTTGTGACAGATTTTCTAAGCCAGCAGAACACTCCGGTACTCCCCTGTCCAGCTGTTTCTCTGGGCCCGTTCCCTATCGAGCACGCTTGGGATAAAATGGAGCAACGTTTACGTCAAGCCCAGAATCAGCCATGCATTGACGTCAGATACATTGGGAGAAGCGTTGGTTCAGATATTGAGCAGCGTTCCCCAAACTTTCTTCAATCGCTTAGTGTCGTCTATGTCTCGTCGTTGTCAAGCCTGCGTCAACTGAATTTGTGAACTGACTTTTGACACCAAATCTCTTGATGGACTTGTAACGATGCCTAGTGTCAAACCATACAGATTTCGATATTGTTCTGTCAACAGTTAAACAGTAATCAAGGAAAACACCACAAATCATGTTACTATCTTTCTTAATTAAAAATGGCACAACATCAAATAATGCAGTATTTTATTCCAGTAGTACATAATGGTATAATGTTCAGATCTGTACCGATATGGAATATATATTCCACAATGACTGTCTCACGTAATGTCTTTATTAAAGTGTGCAGTTGGTGAATTGAATTGTTTATAAGACGATGAAGAGTAGGATTAACAGGCAGTCCTGGAAAAGAAAGTACTTAAACATCAGAAAGAATATCGAAGTGCAATGTGATCAAAACAGAGGGACAGATAGGTACTATGTCACCCCCATTATCAGCATCAGCTACATAATGATTCTATTTTGCAATGTATGCTGGGTTCACACTGTCGTGCGATCCGTTACGATTGGCCATTCGTAGCCGATCCTGGAACTTCTCTGAAATTTCAGGTCTGGATATGAGATGATGCGAGTCGATACGCTTGGATATGATTTGTTGCGGTTGGAAGCGATATTGTCACGATTAAAAGTGTCACGATCTGGTCTCCCGTTCAGATACGATCACATTCGTTATGATAGAATAGTCCCGATTGAGTCCACGATTAGGTCGCGATCTGACACGATCATCACGATCTGGGTCCCCGATTTGGGACGATCTGGTACGTGCTGGTACGATCATCACGACCGATGCGCTCTGCAGAGATAGGATACGATTATGTTAGCGATGTCTTGCCACGTCCGAACTCAAGATCTGATGAGAAATGATAGTGTGAACATAGCAATTCTCCAATAGGCAACCAAACTATATTTCTCACCGTCGTACAACGGGCATATCGGCGGACAATCAAGTATATATTATGGCTTCTATAGGTGAATATTTATACCAGTGTTATAGCCACGTGTGGTGTACATATTGATTCGTATATCAATCGTACAACAATATACAATCCTGACATTTGGGCAGTGAGTATGCACAGTCGAGCTCTCAAAGTATTGCTATGCTATAAAACAAGTCCTCCACTACTGTGCTATATTGTTTCTGTGTATTTTCCTAAACTTATTTAAATGTCTAATACCGGTAGTTTATATAAATAACCACAAGGTACCAATTGTAACGTACATGAAATGTAGGTGCATGTCCAAAGACGTGTGTCTGCCTTTGCCGTGGCTTTATAAAGAATATTTAACATATTTCAATAATATGTGATTTCTGACTGATTCATATCTACTAGGCCTCTACATGTTTGGATAAACAGTTTCAACAATATGTTTGAAATGATTTGGACACAAGTCAGATAAACATCTCATGACCATTAAGTCCATCGGAGGCGAGTCCAGAATTATGAAACAAGTTGCCAGAAGTCTGACTTCAGGGTAGAGCAGATTATGTTTCAAATTGACATTAAGAGGAAGCATGTACGATCTTTTTTACACATTTTCTATTTACAGGTTCATAAATTGGGAAAAGACCTTTCAGGTTTGTTTATTTCATTGAATGTGGAAAGTCCTTAAAGTAATTGTGTGTGAACTAATTAGTTACACATGTTTGCTTGTAATATCAGGATTACTCCTCACAACTAATTCAGAGAAATAGCTGATCATAATTAAGCATTGAAAATGTTAACTATTTTTTTTAAAATGGAATATCGCAGAGACACAGATTCCATTTAAATACAACCATAAATCATGTCTTTTTCAGATCGGAAGAATGATCAGAAAAAAATGGCTGAAAAGGTAGCTTTTATTTATACTTTTAAGAAAGATAACATTTAGATGCAACAAAAATTGAAACTTTCTACTGTACTTTTTTAAGAAGATTGAATTTGCAAATGTTTTTGTACCTACTGTTCGAATATTGGAACAGATTATTTTAATGGTCACTCGGCCGACATCATTTTAGTTTTTCTTGCACATTTTGCTCCCCACTGATTGAGCTTGTTATAAAGATTTTGGTTTGGCTTGTTGTTCGCAGACTTGTTGGATAGATTATAGAATAGTTACATTCGAATGTATGTAAGTGGGAACCCATCTCGTCTGATGTATAGAACATCAAATATTGTTTTTCTACCCTCCTTAGCAACTCACTCATGGATCATGAGTCCCACTTTACTCACTCACTCATTCATCATATCCTAATATGGAAGTTAGTTGCATATTTTATGAACACCGCATGTTTATAAATTCTGTGTTTTGAAATCACTAAATCGACATATACTCGATATGTACTGAACACACAAATATAATGGCCATGGTATATTTATATAACACATGCTAGCACTTGTACAGGGTCACTGTGAATTGTAACAGAAATACATTCCTAACTTAATTTCTGCAACACACGTTATATATAGCATTACACTTTCTCAGTAAAGTGCAGATTCTAGTACTTTTGGTGAGTCCCATCCGGGATTCGAACCCACCCCCTCAGGCACCTAATTGCCAGCACACAAAGTCAGCCGCCTAACCCGCTGAGTCACAAAATGGAAGTCGGACAACTGGTAGTGTAGACTATGGAGTTCGTGTACCCCCTGATAAGTGCCAATTTACACAGTTGGGTCCTCAGCAACCCATGCTTGTCATATAAGGCAGTTGACGGCATCTGGTCGCTGACGTCGTTGATGCATGTCATTGTATCCCATTTGTGTAATGCTAATCATTGGATTGTCTGGTCCAGACTTGATTATATACAGAACCCCGTCATATAGTTAGTATATTGCTGAGCGCGGCGATCCAGTTTCAAATATATCATATTGTAACGATAGACTCCTAGTTTATCACTGAAGTAATTTACCAGAAGTCAAAGATAGTTCTTATTTTAAGCACATGTTCAGTGTGTAAGGTTTGTATGTTAAACATAAGTAACAGGTTACTGGACAAATGAATACAAAATATAATACAATACTAATGTTGTTACAGATGCAGAACATTGAAGCCGAACAAGCGAAACAAACACGCCAATTTGAAGGTATGAATAATACAGTAATAACACGTAACGTTCAATCAGGCGAATATACACGGGTCGGTAAAAACTTAATTTATTAATTCTTTTATTTTGTGGTTATCCCCTTGCTTTAAATGGCTGCAGCCATCTAACTTATTTTCATTGAATTGAGCTATTGTGTAATTCGTGCTGCTCTCTCAAGCGGTTCACGAACAGCATAGAAATATTACTCTCTAAGACAAATGATAATACACGCTCATTATCTTCAGATGACCGGAGAGAAAGAGAAGAACTACAAGGACAGGCAAGTACTACACAAAATACCTCGCCTTAAGCATATTGAATAACTCGCCGCTATCAGAAACATATGTACCAGGTGACTGTAGTTTTTGACTGTCATTACCTCATGTCGCCTGAAATGGCGATATAATCTGTTTTATCCGTTATTCACCATATCATATTGGTTATTTGCCAAATGCATCTTATACATCCTGCATGAATGACTTGAGTGGTTTCGGAAATACTGGCAAAGAAAACCTGTAGTTTACAAAAGTTTGAAACACAAATGTAAGGACATTTAGTAGCTGATTAGAACTTAGAAAACTAAAGTCCATAGTAGTCATTGACTGACACCATTAGAATCTGAAAAGATGTGTCATTGTATGAGTGAACCAGTTCCTTGACATGATTCTTGATTACAGATACAAAACCTACACAAGGTGATCGAGGAAAAGGACAAGGTGATCGAGGAACAGGACAAGGTGATCGAGGAAAAGGACAAGGTGATCGAGGAAAAGGACAAGGTGATCGAGGAACAGGACAAGGATATTAGACAACTTAAAGGTATTTCTTACACGTACAAACTCCACGTAATAAGCGAGGCGGTATATATTTCTGCTTGTCAGATGTACGTACACTTAACTGTTGACATTTGTTTCTGATAAACACATGCACGTTTGTCACTTTGTCGGTTTTTTGCATGCTATTGGAAATTGGCAGTATCAATATTTATATAAAACGTTAATCTGTAGTGAATGAACATGCACATCATCAATCACAATAAACAACACGTTTATCCAAGTCGAACATAAGACACTATGTCCAAACATGCTGCTAGTTCAACACTTCATATCTGTATTTCTGGTTTTAGATGCAAGGGCAGCAGTGGAGGGGAAGGTAAGCGGGGGAAAACCTCGGGTAAATATTTATCTATATACACAGCATGACAGGTAAAAGCACGTCTCTATACGCAACATGTCAGGTAAATACACCTCTATATACTCAACATGACAGGTAAATATACGCCTGTATACTCAACAAGACAGGTAAATACAATTCTGTATACTCAACATGACAGGTAAATACTCCCCTGTATACCCAACATGACAGGTAAATACTGCCCGGTATACTCAACGTGACAGGTAAATACTCCTCTGTACACTCAACATGAGAGGTAAATACTCCCTTGCATACTCAACATGTCAGGTAAATACTGCCCTTTATACTCAACATGCCAGGTAAATACTCCTCTGTACACTCAACATGACTGGTAATCCTCCCTTGTATACTCAACATGACAGGTAAATACTCCCCTGTATACTCAACATGTCAGGTAAATACTCCTCTGTATACTCAACATGTCAGGTAAATACTACTCTGTATACTCAACATGGCAGGTAAATACACCAACATGTCAGGTAAATACTCCTCTGTATACTCAACATGTCAGGTAAATACTCCTTTGTATATACTCAACATGTCAGGTAAATACTCCTCTGTATACTCAACATGTCAGGTAAATACTCCTCTGTATACTCAACATGTCAGGTAAATACTCCTCTGTAAACTGAACACGTCAGGTAAATACTCCTCTGTATACTCAACATGTCAGGTAAATAATACTCTGTATGCTCAACACTTCAGGTAAATACTCCTCTTTATACTCAACATGACAGATAAATACTCCTTTGTAGACTCAACATGACAGGTAAATACTCCTCTGTATACTCAAAATGACAGGTAAATGCTCCCCTGTATACTCAACATGTCAGGTAAATACTCCTCTGTATCATCAACGTGACAGGTAAATGCTCCTCTGTACACTCAACATGACTGGTAATCCTCCCTTGTATACTCAACATGTCAGGTAAATACTGCCCTTTATACTCAACATGCCAGGTAAATACTCCTCTGTACACTCAACATGACTGGTAATCCTCCCTTGTATACTCAACATGACAGGTAAATACTCCTCTGTACACTCAACATGACAGGTAAATACCCCTCTGTATACTCAACGTGACAGGTAAATGCTCCTTTGTATACTCAACATGTCTGGCAAATACTCCTCTGTATGCTCAACATGACAGGTAAATACTCCCTCACCAACATGTCAGATAAATACTACTCTGTATGCTCAACATGACAGGTAAATACTCCTCTGTAAACTCAACATGACAGGTAAATACTCCTCTGTATACTCAACATGACAGGTAAATGCTCCCCTGTATACTCAACATGTCAGGTAAAGACTCCTCTGTATACTCAACATGTCAGGTAAATACTCCTCTGTATACTCAACATGTCAGGAAAACTCTCCTCTGTATATTCGACATATCTGGTAAATACTCATGTGTATACTCAACATGACAGGTAAATACTCCTCTGTATACTCAAAATGTCAAGTAAATACTCCTCTGTATATTCAACATGTCAGGTAAATACTCCACTGTAAAGTCGACATGTCAGGTAACTACTCCACTGTATACTTATATGTCAGGTAAATACTCCTCTGTATACTCAACATGACAGGTAAATACTCCTCTGTATACTCGACATGCCAGGTAACTACTCATCTGTATACTCAAAATGTCAAGGTAATACTTGTCTGTATACTCAACATGACAGATAAATACACCTCTGTACACTCAACATGTCAGGTAAATACTCCTCTGTATACTCAACATGACGGATAAATACTCTTCCATATACACAACATGTCAGATAAATACTACTCTGTATGCTCAACATGACAGGTAAATACTCCTCTGTAAACTCAACATGACAGGTAAATACTCCTCTGTATACTCAACATGACAGGTAAATGCTCCCCTGTATACTCAACATGTCAGGTAAAGACTCCTCTGTATACTCAACATGTCAGGTAAATACTCCTCTGTATACTCAACATGTCAGGAAAACTCTCCTCTGTATATTCGACATATCTGGTAAATACTCCTGTGTATACTCAACATGACAGGTAAATACTCCTCTGTATACTCAAAATGTCAAGTAAATACTCCTCTGTATATTCAACATGTCAGGAAAATACTCCTCTGTATACTCGACATGTCAGGTAACTACTCCACTGTATACTTATATGTCAGGTAAATACTCCTCTGTATACTCAACATGTTAGGTAAATACTCCTCTGTATACTCGACATGCCAGGTAACTACTCATCTGTATGCTCAAAATGTCAAGGTAATACTTGTCTGTATACTCAACATGACAGATAAATACACCTCTGTACACTCAACATGACAGGTAAAGACTCCTCTGTAGACGCAACATGTCAGGTAAATACTCCTCTGTATACTCAACATGACGGATAAATACTCTTCCATATACACAACATGTCAGGTAAATACACCTCTGTATACTCAACATGTCAGGTAAATACTCCTCTGTATACTCAACATGACGGATAAATACTCTTCCATATACACAACATGTCAGGTAATACACCTCTGTATACTGAACGTGACAGGTAAATACTCCTCTGTATACTCAACATGTCAGGTAAATATTCCTCTGTAAACTCAGCGTGGCAGGTAAATACTCCTCTGTATACTCAACATGTCAGGTAAATACTCCTCTGTATACTCAACATGTCAGATAGATAATCCTCTGTATACTCAACATGTCAGATAGATAGTCCTCTGTACACTCAACATGTCAGGTAGAGACTCCTCTGTATACTCAACATGACGGATAAATACTCTTCCATATACACAACATGTCAGGTAATACACCTCTGTATACTGAACGTGACAGGTAAATACTCCTCTGTATACTCAACATGTCAGGTAAATATTCCTCTGTATACTCAACTTGTCAGGTAAATGCACCTCTATATACACAGCATGACAGGTAAATACACCTCTGTATACCCAACATGTCAGGTAATACTCCTCTGTATACTCAACGTGACAGGTATATACTCCTTTAATCTCTCAACTTGTTAGGTAAATGTGCATCACATACTCAGGTAATTGCTTCTTTTTATACTCAATTCCTAACCATGGTGAGGACGGCCCAAACCACGCCGCTATACTTCATCCAGCGGGGCTAAACTAACCTTCCGTCATTACAGGTACAGGAACTTCAGGATGCAGTGCAGGAGAAAACCACCCAGAACAAACACGGAAGGGAAGAAGGAAAGAAAGGTTTGATCTCTACAACCTGCTGAGAACTTTACTCTTTGGATAGTTACAGAAGTGAAGACCGTTGCCTTCCATCTGTATCAACAATCGGACGTTGCAATTGTATTCGTGCAACATACTCCAGCACCTATTTTACCGAAAAAAAATTCTGTTTTAAACAAATACCCCGACAAAATTAAGAACGAACAAAGAAACAGTGTTATCTTGTAGTTATCTTGTATGACAGTAATCGAACATGTATATCCACAGCGTAGTATACTCAGTATGGTATACTGGTTACACTACCTAACAAACCTTCCATGAAGACTGAAATTATCTTGTAATGACATGGCACTATTCAAATGAAATGCTCACGTTTAATTTAATCACTGGAAAAAGTTTGGATAATAGTACTACTGCTATATATTGGAACTATAGAGTCACATTTTTATACAGGTCTGACGAGCATTTCTTGCAGGATTTATTGAGAAATGTAAGGCATATCCAGTATCGTGTGCTCGTGTTTGAATGCTGTAATTTATGCAGCCAAGATGTCTTTCTGGTGTAAGGGAGGTAACTCCATACGGGGATGCGAAGGCGACTATGACTGTCAACACAGCTTTAACCACCCCTTTTACCCAACCAAAGCACTACAGGAAGAACATATATATTCAGGGGCCTAGCTACCCTTATAAAGAAAAGCCCGGGCTTACACATGATTGTTGCTAAAAAGGCTGGACATGCCCTCAATACTATCTAAATATAGATCTAAAGCTTTGCAACCTATCGGGCTCACACGAATAAAATTGGCTAGCTACGCGCTTGATATTGTCCTTTTCAACGCACGTCCAAATGCTACCGAGAAATTATTCGTTTTTCTTTTCATACCTGAAGTAAAATATAGATTACAACAGATAACATAGTAGAATGATTAACACCATCATCGACTCATAGTTAAACTGATATTTAGGGAAAGTATGTAATCATCAGTAAACAGAGTAATGTCAAAGTACTTTTTAAAATGTTAGTTCAACCCGGCATTGATTATGTCAAGTCTCACATTTCCGGCACGTTTTGGTCAGTCACAAATAACAAACAGCTGCTCGCTGGCTACTGCCGCGAACTTGCATCTATCTGTCAAGTTACGTCATGTTGTGACGTCATATATCGAGCACTGGGTCATAACAGGGCAGGTTTTCGGAGAGGCTGAAGTGCGGGGAATGTGAATCTTGTATGAGATGTAATGTCAGGGTAAGTAAACTGAAAATGTGGAGGGTCTGCACGAAGATGTGGGTTTGTGCAGAGATGGAGACTATTATGTTCTGTGATGCACAGTGAAACACATATGTCGTCATTTGAGTTGGGTTTTTTTTTTTTAAAAATGATATGCGTAACTAAAACATTGACAATACCGTCACACAGCTTGTCATGAAACGTGGTGTGATGTTAACGATATATCTTGCTTGGAAACTATATAAACCTACGTGACGATAAACTTGGAGCACTTGCAGTAATACTGAATGAGATCGGTGTATCTACATGGAGACCTGGGTGCCGTTGTACAAAACCATATTAGCTCTATGACAATCGCTGGTCCATGTTAAAGTATAGGACTTACTATCACCTTAGCGCTATGACAATCCCTGGTCCATGTTAAGGTATGGGACTTACTATCACCTTAGCGTTATGACAATCCCTGGTCCATGTTAAAGTTTAGGACTTACTATCACCTTAGCGTTATGGCAATCGCTGGTCCCTGTTAAAGTATATGACTTACTATCACCTTAGCATTATGGCAATCGCTGGTCCCTGTTAAGGTATGGGACTTACTATCACCTTAGCGCTATGACAATCGCTGGTCCATGTTAAGGTATGGGACTTACTATCACCTTAGCGCTATGACAATTGCTGGTCCATGTTAAGGTAAGGGACTTACTATCACCATAGCGTTATGACAATCGTTGGTCCATGTTAAAGTATGGGTCTTACTATCACCTTAGCGCTATGACAATCGCTGGTCCATGTTAAGGTATGGGACTTACTATCACCTTAGCGTTATGGCAATCGTTGGTCCATGTTAAGGTATGGGACTTACTATCACCTTAGCGCTATGACAATCCCTGGTCCATGTTAAAGTATAGGACTTACTATCACCTTAGCGTTAAGGTTGTTTCGTACAACAGAAGCCACTGTGGTTCTCTACTGTTACAAACCGGCAAATGAGAAAAACAACTTTCTTGAACCACCCAGTCATGGGACATAAGTATTCGTTAGTCGGCAAAATTCTCATAGACTTGCATGTTATTTTAGTGTTGCTGTAATAATTGTCATTAATTCAGTTTTCGTTATGTGGTTGTCAAACTTTGCAGGTTGTTAGGAAACCATCTTGGTCACAGATATATATTTTCAATGTAATGTTCCTTCACGTATTTTCTGCATTGTAGTTACATGACACAACATAGTGTATTCTTTCTCCATAGACGCCATGTTAAACATTGTCATAAGCATGACACGCATCATTCAAAGTGTGGTCATTCTTGAAATACTGAATGGAAAATAAAACGGAAATTATGTCTTTGCAACTGAGATGATTCATGACACATGTGCAAAATATGAACAAGATTAAAAAGAATAAATTCCAGACGTTTTTTCTAGCTGCACCAAATTAGCATGTAAGTGTATGGAAATTATGTACAGTGACGAATACTTATGCCCAATGACACTAGACTATATAAAGACTTTGTCTCAATATGATTATATCATCACCAGCATATTCCATTATAAGGTAATTAAATCTGTGTTCAAACTAATTGTATCTAAATGTATTTTCCAAGGCGAGTATGTATTGACAGCTGTCAATAGGGCAGGTGGAACAGATTGAGACCATTCTCTGTTAGAATGTAGATTACATGAAGTCCAATATTCTATGCATCATATTCTCTGCTCCAGTGGCTGGTGACTTAAAGACAGGACCGGCCTATCAACAAGCTGGGGATGAAGCTGATCAACATGGAGGTAAAACTGGAGACTGTCTGAACATTGTGTTTGCTACAGTGCAGTAACAGGGATAAAATCAGTTAACGAAAAGTGTCCCAACTATATTACCTTTGAGCGCATCCTGTAAGATTAGACTCACTGACTAAGGCTGGTATATATACTTATATCTGATTGTTATACCAGCAGATCCCATGAATGTACTGTGTAGGTCCGGTTGTTAAACAAACTGAATGTAATGTATAGAGCTAGTACTTCAACATGACAGAATGTAAAGATCGAGTACAACAAAAACCTGGATATAATGTATAGGTCTTGTGCATATATTTGTACCACAAAAAACTAGCATTCAAGTATATCTACATTGGCAGTGAGAACATGTTTTAATGTTACTAACTCCAATTCTAAACTGCAGATATTTCATATATACTACTAAACACAAACTGAATATAATGTATGGAACTACTGTGTGTCGTTTCTGAAACCTAACTGTTTTTCTTCAGCCTCGAGTGACGTGGAGGAGATGCGGACCACCGCCACAGTGAGAGCAGCTGACGATAGTGTTCCACGTCAAGGAGGTGAGAGCAGTAGGCAGGACTGTGGTACTGGAATGTCACGCCAGTGTCAACACTTGTATCACAGATCAGGATAAGTTATTGTTCCACGTCAAGGAGGTGAGAGCAGTAGGCAGGACTGTGGTACTGGAATGTCACGCCAGTGTCAACACTTGTATCACAGATCAGGATAAGTTATTGTTCCACGTCAAGGAGGTGAGAGCAGTAGGCAGGACTGTGGTACTGGAATGTCACGCCAGTGTTAACACTTGTATCACAGATCAGGATAAGTTATTGTTCCACATCAAGGAGGTGAGAGAAGTAGGCAGGACTGTGGTACTGGAATGTCACGCCAGTGTCAACACTTGTATCACAGATCAGGATAAGTTATTGTTCCACATCAAGGAGGTGAGAGCAGTAGGCAGGACTGTGGTACTGGGATATCCCGCCAGTGTCAACACTTGTATCACAGATCAGGATAAGTTATTGTTCCACATCAAGGAGGTGAGAGCAGTAGGTAGGACTGTGGTACTGGAATGTCAACACTTGTATCACAGATCAGGATAAGTTATTGTGAAGGAGTTGAAACAGTAAATACAGAATGTAAAATGTGTTTTCATTCACTAGATAAGCACTGTTCCTGACGTTACAAAATGGACAAAATTGAAACCTGACATTCGATCCACGCACATTAGATACAATGTACAAGTATTTCCTGTATTGTATTGATAGACAGTGACATCACGTGTACAATGTACAAGTTTCTGTTACAGTGACACAGAAAGACTCCAACCCCCACCATGACGCCGCCCTCCTTGAGGCCTGCCGTGATGGGAACATGGCCGAGGTGAAGCGTGTCCTGGATCTGGGACAGGTAGACATCAACTGTAGAGGAGTGTGGAGCCAGACACCGATGATGAGGGAAGCAGGGCGGGGACACAGAGAGGTGGTGGAGCTGCTACTGAGTAGAGGAGCTGATGTGTCACTGGTGGACGGGGACGGTAACAACACCCTTCACTGGGCCTGTCATGGAGGAGACGTGGGGACGGTGGAGTTGATACTGTCCCGGGACGGGGTGGACGTCAACTGTAGAGGAGAGTGGAGCCAGACACCGATGATGAGGGCAGCAGGGCGGGGACACAGAGAGGTGGTGGATCTGCTACTGAGTAGAGGAGCTGATGTGTCACTGGTGGACGAGGACGGTAACAACACCCTTCACTGGGCCTGTTATAGCGGAGACGTGGGGACGGTGGAGTTCATACTCTCCCAGGACGTGGTGGACGTCAACGCCAGGAACAACGACGGGCAGACAGCGGCCGACGTGGCGAGAGACTGGGGACATCATCAACTGGCGGATCTCGTGTCACGTGCTGCTCGGTGAAGTCGTGTGGTGTGGTGTAGACAGTGATGATGCTGTTACTGACAGTGACGTGGTGTGTGCCGTTCACGTCGTCGTATTTACATTGTTGGTCCACG